CTCTATATTTTATCATTGTACGTTACTTCTGCAATGACTTTCAATAGAGAGCCTCAGTATTAAAAAACACAACAAAATAACATATCTAGATGCCACTGATCAAAAGCCTCCATATAAATGACTACTTGACCTTAAAATGTTACCATTACATTTTCTATTCCAATCCGGTTTGCTATGTGAATGCAAGCTTTTTATATGAAATCAAAATAAACAAAACCCTACTTAGATTATCTTAGATGATCTAACGTCGCGATGATATATGAGTTCTGCGAATGATACGCGTAATTGGGTGATATAGTAATCCATATCTCCGGAAATTTTTATTATAAGTGTCTGGTTCTTTTTATCTTTCTTTCTACGGGCTGGTTAAGTGGTTAGGGAAGTTCTTTTGGTAGAAATTTGAAGACCAAATTAACAGTGGGCTGAAAATCGAGATTTTGGTGGGTCAATCTAAGTCACTGCAGCTCAATTGAGCCAACTTTGTAGGTCGTGGCCTGTAAATGCCAAGAAGTGGAGGATTATATATGCCAATATATAGAAGAGCTAACCAATATTTGAACTTTCGAAAGATTACAGAGGTGAAAGAAAAGTTGCAATGACTTGATGGATTATTTAGAAACTATTGAAGACAAAGACAAGGAATTTTATATGAACAATGTTTAAAAAACAAAACAAAAAATTAAACATTTATGATTGTACGCTCGTATTTTGGTGAAAATCCGTACGGAATGCTTTCCCCAAGTGGATTGGATGTCATTGCGAAAGAACTTCATAACTATCTAAACGGCGCAGCCAGCGGATTACAATAATTGATGTTCAGCAAGTTTCTACAAAAAATGTAGTCAGCAATTTTGAAGACAGCCATAATAGCTATGTTTAGAAAAAGAAAACAGTTTGCGTAACTGCCCTCCTAATATATCAACATTTTTGTATGAAATTGGAGACCATACACTCTCATGAATGTAAAATTTTAGCAAACACTAAATTTTTATTTATTTGAAATGTAATACCTGGGCGGTATTAAAGAAAACGGAAACCTCAAAATAGCAACAAAAGGTCGACGGCGGTCGGCGTGTTTGTTACGCGGTGACAAAATCTAGAGGCGCCAAGAGGCGCAGCCGCGACGAGCGCTACCGACACTGCGGCGCCGGTCGCCGGGACGCCAATCGCTATGGGCAAAACCCAGAGCACTGAACATGCATGAACTTTCTTTTTGTGTGCGTGAGTTTCCTTAAAGCTGCGTGTCGCCCGTCTTTTTCATTTCCTTTTTTATTTTAATTATCTTCAGACCGCCCTTCACTGTATTTTGATGCGAAAGCCGTAACTGGCCCCATGGAGCTGAGCCGGCGGCGTCTGTAACAGCGAAGCACGTGCAAGAATACGGCTGCGCCTGTAACTGCGCAAAAGATACGCGCAAAACATTCAAGAAATTTCCAGTAGCCGGCGGCGTCTCTAACCGCTGTAGTAATCATGCAAAACGTTAAAGAATTTTCCAGGGAAACAACTCCGGCTGGAACACGTCATAGTTTGAACGCATGGCACTCGACAGTAAAGCCATCTTCATGGCGCTACGGTCCGCACGCCAGGAAGCAGCGCATTCGGCCGTCGCTCTCGTGTCAGTCGTCGCCGGGAGCGGGGGGAGGTGGGGGGGGGGAACCTGAGGCATATAGCGGCACGTGAGGCATCTATATCGTCGGCTGCTCCAACCTTAGCAGTAGCGCAACGTGGCTGTCCACGCCAGTACAACGCAGACGAACTAAGGGATCGGAAGAACGACATTCATGCTTTCGCATTCAGAAATCATAAGAAGTGCTTAGGTATCCTCGGAATTTTTCCTCTAAAACTCATCCGATAAAAACGTTCGGGCGTGCGAGATGGCTGGATTGCGAGTACGGTGCGTGCTGTCGTCACGGTTTCACTCGGCTGATTGACTTCACGTGTGAGTATTACATAGGGTGTCCCAAGTCACCAGGCTCGATTTAAAATGGTCTGTTAAGATCGACGCCCGCACGTAGCAATCTAAAATTTTCGTCAGAGGTGTACTTCCCAGGTCAGTTTTTCTTGTAAAATTGCAAAGCGTAGCTCCCTTTCTGCAAGACATAGGGCCAAGAAACTTGCTAGGGTCAACGGCGGACGGCGTCGCAGACGACTGGGTTGACTACATAAAATTGAAAAAATAAAACACAGAGGGCAAGCACAGGACAACCATTTTCTTTCATTCAGCAACGACGTTTATTTTGGTCAAAGACGTTGCACCCTGAGCGAGACCCCGAAAAGGTTAATAAGGAGGAAGGCTAACAGGGACGCAAAGGAAACTTGGGAGATAGAAAGGTGATAAAGGGGAAGGGAAACTGGGAGATGGAAGGGGTGATAGGAGAAGGAAAGGGGGAACCACGAGGCACGGGCAGAACTACCGGGATGTTGTGTATTTACGGGGAGTTGCGATATTTTTCAATTTCAGGCTTGAGGAATTCTAATTCCCGTCTTGATAAGGTTACTGAGGCCGATGAAACGTTGCTTTCTGCGTTCTGGATGAGAAAAGATTCGATGATTTCACGTCCGTGGCAATTGCGGTGTCCCCCTCTCGTCTTGGTTCCTGCGAAGTCAGGCGCGCATCCAATGCATGCGTTCGCGTGAACCGCAATCAAATGAATGGGGTTGTCGGTTCTTGAAGTGGCCTCGTTTTCGTGCTCTCTCAAGCGGTCATTGATACATCGGCCGGTTTGTCCTATGTACTCGCACCGCATTTGAGAGGGACGGAGTAAACCTTTTCTGTGCAGCAGGTCCGGAAGAGGGTGGCGTAATTTTTTTCGCAAGCCGGCTAGGCTTCTTGTCGGTTGATCATGTTGCACATGCTTGCCAATTTGAATCTACTGGAAAAGACACCTTTCGTGTCATAGCGTGATGCAATGGATCGGATACGATGGGAAGCATTATGAATGTAAGGTATGCTGGCTATCCTTCGACTGAAAGGCGTTTTTGTAGTTTCCTTTGGGTTAATAAGTTGGTGGAAAATGAACACGAGGCGTTCCACCGGATATCCGGAACTCAAGAGTCGTCGAGTTTGGCTCTTTATGCTATCTGTTGCCGAATGCTGACAGGATTTCGTTTTAGCTGATGTTAGTATCGTCTTGATGATACCTATCTTAACAATTTTTGAATGAGCACTCTCAAAAGGGAGCACCGGCTTTTCTGAACGCTTACTGAACGCTTACTGAACGCCCAGCAAACGCCTTCTTTGGTTTTTTTCAATCGCAGGTCTAGAAATTGTCACCCTTCTGAAGAAGGATGTTCCTTTTTGAATTTTAGTTTGCCTCCTGCGCTTTCGAACGAGGCCACGATCACCTCGACTTTATCGTCTTCAGAGTGAATAATCATTTAGTCATCAACGTAGCGGACTACGGTGTACTCCGGGCTAGTGTCCTTGAGCTGTACCTGTATGGTCCTATGGACATAAGACAGGTAGATTTCACTTAATATAGGAGCAAGGCAAGACCCTAACACACCCCGGATTTCAGTATCCAGATTTGTCCTTCGTGGTCGATCATGGTGGATGGCTGCCAGGTCGACCACCTGGCAGCCATCCACCAGGTTGCAGCAGTCATACCGGAACAAGAACGAAAGGAATTCTTGGGGGCAGCGACCCGATCACTCTGCTACCATCCAGCCCCCCGGCCAAAGGCAAGTGTCAACATTCGGTCGGCAGTAGTGGAAATTCGAGAAAAAAACCTCAAGCTCCTCCAGGCGGATAAAACAGGAGGTTTCGTAGTAATTGATGACGAAATGTACAAAACGAAAGCTAAAGCCGCAGTTGAAAAAAATTTCCCCGCCATTAAGAAGAGACCTTCAGGATCCCTCCGCAGCAAACTGAAAGAACTATGCGTTCAGCTAAACCTACCAAAAAATGAAAAATTTGATAACAGCTCCAGCCAACCAATATCTGCAAGTATTCTTCGTCGCTAAAACGCATAAGCCGGACGTCCCCCTCCGCACAATAGTATCCGAGAGAGGATGCTGGCAGAAGCACCTCGCCACGTTTCTCCAGTAACATTTTTCAGGCGTACGTCCCTCACAACCTTATCGAATCAAAAACTCTCAGGAGCTTATCAACACCCTAGAACCGGTTCATACTGGTGCTCCTAACTTAGACTTCTTTTCTTTAGACATAGAAGATATGTACTATAACCTGGACATTTCAACTCTTCTCGAATCCGTAGAAGAAGCCATCACTGAACACGGAATCTGTAGCTTCCAAAACTCATCCGGAGTGTCACTTTCCAGCTTCATCGAGCTTCTGCAACTCTACCTAAAATCAAGAATGATCGAGCACGAAGGACACATCTGGATACAGAAATCCGGGGTGTGTATAAAGTCTTGCCTTGCTCCTATATTAAGTGAAATCTACCTGTCTTATGTCGATAGGACCATACAGGTTGTCACGCTTGGCTCAGCTGAGCGGACACTTTCACACACGTGCTACACTCCTTTATTCTCCCAGCGCCATCCTTCTCTCCCCGCCGTCCCTCGCTCCTTCCCGTGACTCGCGGGAGCGGGGACAAGTGTTGTCCCTAGGAATCCCCCCTAGGGAAGGAGTGTCCCCGCACGGCTCCGGTTGTCGCCGGCGCCACACACTCCTCACATTCCTTACAGGTCTCCCCCCCTTCATTCGTGAAATTGCAGGAGTGGCATCTGGTCCATCTTCGTGGTAGGCTGTCAACTGGTCTGCGTGAGCCACTCCGCGGCGACGTCCGGTAGTTGGGTCCCTCAGCAGGAAGTCATTCTCGCCCAAGCACTGTGCCAGCCGGAAGGGCCCAGAGCGCCGCGGTGCAAGCTTGGCCGTGATGCCCTTGGCAGAATTACTCAGGGTGTGGCTATCCAGTAGGACGAGGTCACCCTGTTTTATTGTTGTAGGCTTCCTGTGCCGGTCGTAGTTGGCCTTTTGGGTCTGCCTTGTTGACTCCTGGTGCTCTCTTGCAAAGCTGAGAGCATCCTGAATGCACCTGGTGACCTCAGCAGCAAAGGCATGGCTAGCCGTTACAGGCGGTTCAGTGTCGTCTTTGCTTCCTGGCTGCTCCCACGGGGTGCGCAGTTCCCGACCGTAGCACAGGGACGCCGGCGTGTATCCCGTCACTACGCTCTCAGCCGTGCGCATGGCAAAGGCGATTTCGGGGATGTGACGGTCGCAGTCTTTGTGGTCGGAGCAGTAGGCTCGGAGGCACTCCTTCACTGTGCCGTTGTGGCGCTCCACCATTTGTCGTGCCGGTCGATAAGGCACCGTATGGCGGTCCTTGATACCCCAGTGCTTAAGGAGACCTTGCCATACGGTGCTCACGAAGGGCTTTCCATTGTCACTTTATATTGTCGCAGGTGTGCCATGACGGCAGAACACCTGCACCATACACTCCACAATGTTGCTGCTTGTTGCCGCGCGCAGCGGGAAAAGTTCGATAAACTTGGTAAACTTGTCAATTACCACGAGCAGGTACTTGTGGCGTCAAGGCGTTGATGGCAGAGGTCCCACGATGTCTACACTGAGCTCCTCCATGGGCGAAGTGGCCCACTGACTGCTCATAAGCCCTTCGGGCCTCTGGCGGCGGACCTTTGTCCGCTGGCATACCTGGCAGCACCGGACGTACTTAGATACATCGGCTCGCATGCCCAGCCAGACGAAGCGTTCAGAAACACGTTTGAGGGTTTTGAAAAACCCTGCGTGAGCTCCAGTGAGGTGGTCGTGTGCCATCTTGAGCACTAACTGGCGAAGTTGGTCCGGGAGCCAGGGTACCTTCTTGTTACCTCTGTGCTGAACGAGCAACCCATTGGCCTCCAGCTCTGTCGTCTCAGCCAGGTCGTCCAGTAGGCGTTGGTCTGTACTGTCGTCTGGGAGCTTCGTTCCCTGCATCACCATTCTGAGCTTGGACAAAAGGGCGTCTTGATGCTGCTCGTGGACCAGGCTTCCCGGGTCACTCAGGACTGTGGCATCGTCCATCATGGACACTGTCGCAGCTGGTTCAAAACTGATTTGGCACTCAGTCTCCGGGGCAGCAATGGGGAAAACCGTCTCTGGCAGACTGTGTCCAGGAGTGTCCATACATTGAAGCGGAGCTCTGCTGAGGGCGTCGGCTGGGACATTTGCAAGCCCCCTCCGGTGCTTGATCTTGCAGTTGAAGCCCTGAAGCCGAAGAACCCATCGCTTGACTCTTGGTGAGGCTTGGTCTGTACTAAACATCCAGGCCAGTGAGGAGTGATCGCAGTGGATCTCGAACTCTGTGAACTCCAGGTAGGGTCGGAATTTGTCCACAGCCCAAACCACCGGAGACACTCCCACTCCTGAACGGTGTAGTTCCGCTCCAACTCAGTCAGCACTCTACTGATAAACGACACTGGCTGTAGCTGGTCTGGGCCCCTCTGCAGCAGCACTGCCGCAATGCCAACTCCACTGGCATCAGTCTCGACGACGAAGGGCTGAATCAGGTCGGGAAGACTCACAACCACGTCGTGGGCCAGGGACTCCTTGAGTGCGGCAAATGCTTGCTCCTGTTGATGAGTCCAGTGCCATTTATTGTCCTTCCTCAAGAGGTCTGTGAGTGGACGGGCAACAATAGAAAATTGAGAAATGAAGCTCCGGTAGTAGCCGGATAACCCCAGGAAGGCCTGCAGTTGCTTGACTGTGCTGGGCCGAGGGTAGTCCAACACTGCAAGCACCTTCTCATCGTCGGGTCTGCATTCCCCTGGGTAGATCACGTGGCCCAGGAACTTCAGAGACCGACGGCAGACTTGGACCTTGTCTGGATTGATGGTGAGTCCCGCTGACCTGATACGCTGCAACACCTCCCTCACATGCGTGACGTGGCTCTCCAGAGTATCCGAATACACGAGGACGTCGTCCATAAATGCCATGGTGAATTGGTGATTTATGCCGTCCAGAACCCTGTCCATCGAGGTTTGGAAGGTGGCTGGGCCCCCTGCCACTCCAAATGGCATCCGTGTGAACTCGAAGGTTCCCAGGTGGCAGATGAAGGCGGTCTTGGGAATGTCCTCTTTGCACACAGGAATTTGAAGAAAAATCCTGAAACAGGTCGAAACTCGAAAACCACTCTGCCTGACCCAATTGTGCCAGCAGCCAGTCCGTCCTGGGCATGGGGTAGACTGGTACCCTGGTACATGCGTTGAGTGGCCGATAATCGATGGCAAGCCTGAAGCCACCTGGTTTTTTTGCCACCAACACTGGTGCGCTTGTCCACTGGCTGTTGCTTTGGCGGATGAGTCCTTGTTCCAACAAGTCCTGCACACAGCCGTCAATGATTTTCTGCTTTTTGGCGTTGACAGGGCGCAGCTTGCAGCGCACGGGCGGACTCTTTCCTGTGTCTATCTGATGATGAGCGAGAGTGGTGCAGCCCGGAGTTGTGGTAAACATCGGCCGAAAGTCCACCAGCACATTCTCCATGCAAGTGTCCACTTCCAGTGCATGACTCTGAGGCCGATCACCTCTGGAGGTGGCCTGGTCAGAGGCGCTGGCGCAGGCAGGTTCTTCCTCCGTGAAGATGCCCTGGAGGCAGTAGGAATCCTCCCCGGCCAGAGGCTCCTCAGTTGGCCTCTTTTCACCCTTAGCAAACGGAACAATGCACTGGGGTTCTGTGCCAATCGTCCACCCCCCAAGTGCCACGTGCACTGAAATGCCGGTGATCGTCAAAAAATCTCTCCCCAGGACAATGTCTCGGCGAAGGTCGGGCATAAACAGGAAGCGCTGCCTCCGAGAACCGGCCGCCCATTGGATTTTGCACCTGAGCGATGTGGAGAACTAAGACCAGCCTGTTGCGAGGCGCAGCGTGCGGACTTCCCTCTTGTGACTGGCTCCTGTAGCTTGGGCAGCTGTCATCGCCGGCAGTCCCAGCAGACTAACGCTGGAGCCCGTGTCGAGCAGTGCCTGGAAGGTCGTCGAACCAATCCGCACGTCCAAGAGGGGTTCTTTCCCACCGGCAGTTGTCGCCACCTGCAACGCGCTGTCGTAGATGCCCGCCGGGGCAGCATCTACCAGTTCCCGTTTCCCGGGCACTGCGCTTGGAAGTGGCCCGGCTGCTGGCATCGGAAGCAGAGAAGAGACGCAGCGGGTGCTGACGCAGCCCGCCGACCGGTGGGGCAGTGACGAGCGGCGTCGCCGATTCCTCCGCAGCGCTGGCAGTGAGCCTGTCCTCCGTTAAGCTGCTGCCACTGGGTTGCCGGCAGCGCGAAGGTGGCTGGGGGCAGCATCGGTAAAGCTGGGCCGTAAAGCTGGTCCCGGTGGTAGGATGGCTGGATCGCTGCTGGGTGAAGTGGCCAGGGGTACGTCGACTGCGTAACTGCGGCCGGGGAAGCAAACGTTGCAGCCGCCGTCGATGGCTGGACCGCTACCGAGTGAAGTGGCCAGGGGTACGCCGACTGCGTAACTGCGGCCGGGGAAGCAAACGTTGCAGCTGCCGTCATCGCCGGTTGCGGTCTGGGAAGGCCCGGAGCACCAGCTGCAGGCCTGAAGGCGAGGTCTCTGGCAACTTGGTTGGTTTGGGGAGGCGGCGGCACGTACTGCAGCCGTCGCCAAGCGCGCTGCATGAGGCCGTCAGCCGCCTTCGCCAGCTCCGCCAGGTTCGCGAACTGCGTCCCCTCTGCCACGTTCTGCAGCTGCGGGTGCATTTGCCGGAGGACCCGGTCCGCTTTCTCCGAGTCCGGCACCTCTTCTCCGATTCGGTCGTAGTATGCCGCAATCGTGTAAATGAACTCCTTCAAGTTCTCTTCCGGGTGCTGTGTACGGAGTCGCAGCTCATCCTTGAGGCGACGCTTCGCGTCGATGGAGGCGAACTCCGCACGGCACGCGGACGTGAAGTTATCTCAGCTGGCGAAGTCGCCCACAAACCGCCACCCCAATTTCTCACTGCCCTCCAGTGCGGCTGGCACGACCTGGCTCAGTCGTTTGTCGGCGGCGACTCCCGTCACCAAACAAAAGTTCTCGAGCCGCTCCAGAAATTCCTCGGGCGACTGAAGATCGCTGAAGCCCGAGAACTTCGGCAGCTGGGCCGCTATCCTGGGCACAGGGCCACCGGAGGGATGGACTGTGGCCACAGTCGCCACGGGCACTTCGGCGCCGGTCAGCATCGGAGCCGCCATTACAGCTTGCCGCAATTGTGCTACAGCGTGCTCACGTTGCAGCGCTGATCCGTCGGTCTGTCTAAGGAGCTGCTGAACTAGCCCCTTTGGCACTGTGAAGGAGTCCATGGTGCAATCCCGGACGAGCCCCCACTTGTCACAGTTGGCTCGGCTGAGCGGACACTTTCACATAACTGCTACACTCCTTTATTCTCCCAGCGCCATCCTTCACTCCCCGCCGTCCCTCGCTCTCTCCGTGACTCGCGAGAGCGGGGACAAACGTTGTCCCTAGGAATCCCCCCTAGGGAAGGAGTGTCCCCGCACGGTTCCGCTTGTCGCCGGCGCCACACACTCCTCACATTCCTTACAAGGTAAAGCTCAAGGACACTAGCCCGGAATGCACCGTAGTCCGCTACGTTGATGACTACCTGATTATTCAGCCCGAAGCCGATAAAGTCGAGGTGATCGTGGCCTCGTTCGAAAGCGCAGGAGGCAAACTAAAATTCAAAAAGGAACATCCTTCTTCAGAAGGGCTACAATTTCTAGACCTGCGATTGAAAAAAACCAAAGAAGGCGTTTGCTGGGCGTTCAGTAAGCGTTCAGTAAGCGTTCAGAAAAGCCGGTGCTCCCTTTTGAGAGTGCTCATTCAAAAATTGTTAAGGTAGGTATCATCAAGACGATACTAACATCAGCTAAAACGAAATCCTGTCAGCATTCGGCAACATATAGCATGAAGAGCCAAACTCGACGACTCTTGAGTTCCGGATATCCGGTGGAACGCCTCGTGTCCATTCTCCACCAACTTATTAACCCAAATGCAACTACAAAAACGCCTTTCAGTCGAAGGATAGCCAGCATACCTTACATTCATAATGCTTCCCATCGTATCCGATCCATTGCATCACCCTATGACACGAAAGTTGTCTTTTCCAGTAGGTCCAAATTGGCAAGCATGTGCAACATGATCAACCGACAAGAAGCCAAGCCGGCTTGCGAAAAAAAGCACGCAACCCTTTTCCGGACCTGCTGCACAGAAAAAAGTTTACTCCATCCCTCTCAAATGCGGCGCCGAGTACAGAGGACAAACCGGCCGATGTATCAATGACCGCTTGAGAGAGCACGAAAAAGAGGCCACTT